AGGATACACTGCCTGAGTGATCTAGCTGCAGACCCACTTCTTTGGCTTTGCTTTTTAGCCACTCCCCATATCCCTTTCCCCATGCGGCTCTTCACTCAGATTGGCTTTCTTTTTGTTCTATGAAAGGACTACGTACCCCTTGGCACATTAGCCTTCATTCTTGAAGGAGCTCAGGAAATTTTACCCTAAAATGTGACTCCTTGGTATAAAGAGTATTTTAAATAAAGGTCCTTAGAGATCAACAGGCCTTTGGAAGGGGATTTCCCTCTATCTACATAACCTGACTGACTGTCAAAAGAACAATTGACTTCCCTTTCCTTCCCCTTATCTCACTATGTTGCAGGAAAGAAAAACAAGAACACAACCAGACCAAATCATTTAAAATATAATACCTGTTTCTCTGGGTAGTTTAATTTGCAAAGAGATTCATTTACAAATCAATCTGTTGGGTCCCCCCCCCATTCATCCTCTGTAGAAAGTTTATTGTCCCTAAACAGAATCACCTATATTCCTCATCTCCCTCTGCCCTCTAAAAGAAGAGTATAAAAATATGTGGATCCCACTGGGATATTGGCTAATGACTTTGTGATTCTCCCCATGTGCATGGTAAATAAACTTCTTCCTCTTATTAATCTGCCTTTATTGTGAGTTGATCTTTCAGGAAACTTTCAGGGGAAAGGGGAAGTGTCCCCTCACCCCACACTCTTTCCTTTTCTTTCCTTTATCATTACCATAACTTCCCCACACAGCCTAGCTCCCACTTTTCATCTTTTTAACTCCAACTCAGCAACTTCATTTTCTTTTCTTTCTTTTTTTTTTTTTTTTGAGACAGAGTTTTACTTTTGTCACCCTTGGTAGAGTGTGTGGCATCATAGCTCATAGCAACCTAAAACTCTGAGGCTCAAGTGATCCTCTTGCCTCAGCCTCCTAAGTAGCTGGGACTACAGGTACCCTACACAATGCCTGGCTATTTTTAGAGGTGGGGGTTTCCCTCTGGCTCAGGCTGATCTCAGAACTCCTGAGCTCAAGCAATCCACCCGCCTCAGCCTCCCAGGGTGCTAGGATTAACCCAGCCTAATACTCAGCAATGCTAATGGTTTATTTGGGGGGAAGTTTTTTCCTGACACCCCAATTCTGGGTTTTTAAGAGTTGACAGGTAGGCTAAGTAACTTGCCCAAAGCCACACAGATTGTCAGTGGCATAGTCAAATTTAAGCTGGTTTATCAGACTTCAAATATACATTATCTTATATTACTCCTCACAACTCAGTGAGTTAAGGGGATAAATCGCTGGCCCATGATTACACAATGAAAGTGGTGCAGTTTTGTAGCCCCAAATCTAGGTACATTTTATTACACCAGAGCAATTCCATCTCATTGAAGTTGGAAGAACTTGCCTTGTGAAGTGAGGGGAGAGTTTATGTATTTCACTACTGACCAAACTATAAATGGTCCTTAAAACCACAAGTTCCCCACCCACCCCATTCTAAAGATATGATGTCCCTGAGAAGATCAGTACTAGGGATGATGCTGATATTTGACAATGATCAGTTTTATAAAATTACTATGAAGACTTGAAAAACAAGATGAGATTTTCACTAAATTTATTTTCTTTGTTGGACTATAGTAGGCACATTCTAGCAGTTCTGAAGTTCCATACCTATCCTGCACTCCTGGAAATTCACAAAAGATTGACTAATATTTTCATAGTTTTCATCTATAAATTCAACAGGCAGTACCTCAGCGCACAAATATGCAAAGAAACCTCATAACAAAAGTGATTCCTCAGAATCTGTGTGTTTATGATGTAATACAAAATTAAAAAATAAAACCCAAAGAGATTACTCTGGGGCCAGCCACACTTCCCAGTAATCTAACTGAAGGTATTCACAAGTTAAAGACAAAGTAGAACAATCACAAAGGGGTTCATTAATCATACGATGAGAAAAAAAGGAAATCGCTGAAGCCAAAATCGGTAGTTCCAGCCAGCACTGCTCAAGTCAGAGTGTGCCCTTTTCCAGGAACTTTACCTACCAATACAGTAGAGTCTACTGTTCCCAGAATGGGGCCTATGATATATCAGGTCCTCAATAATAAATTTGTTACCTAAATGACTAAATTAATGAATGGGTGACTAAAACGTCTCAGTGACAGAGCCCTTGTGGAGATGGCTGCACTATCAAACCATCAGATATTAGGATCATATGTCTAATTCCTCCAGATCTGAGTTTTCTGAATAATTTGGCATCCTGTGTGACTGATGAGAGGACCTCAGTATCCCCAATCCCACTGTATTTTGATGTTAACTGGCATTTTGATGTTAAATGTCAGTTTCTAACATCTATTCTTCTGGGATACTGACAAATCTAGCTTCTGAATCCATAGGTCTCAGAAACATCCTGGATTCTGGCCAATTCACCAAGATATTAGTGGGTGGAGGGAGTACAGCCTTCCCTGGCTGATGTTGTTCTATCTCAGGGGTTCTCAACCTTCATAATGCCGCGACCCACAGGTTGAGAACCACTGTTCTATCTGATCACATGTCCTTTTTATATTGCTACCATTGTACTTTCTATAAAATCAACACCAATGCCCAAGAGTCCACTCTTTTCTCCCATGCAACCAATTATTCTCTTGAATTTCTTCTTGAAGGATAATTTTCCCCAGGGATGATCCATACCTCTTGAGACTTCAGTAACATGTGATATCAAAAGTTCCTTCATGTGGCTTTCTTCAGCTACAAATATGTTCTCTTCATTATGGTTCCAGGCATTTCTTAGCCCTGTTTAGGATGTTAGTACTAACAAAAGAGGGCATGCTTTAGGTTGTGTTTTAAATGCTTGAATCAATGAAAAGATTCATGCTGTGGTCTCCCTGATCTGTAGAGATCACTGTCCCATATAGCTCCTCATCCTTGGGTAAGGAAAGAAGGATCTACTAACTGGTTCCCAAAAGTCATCAAAACCTCACCATATGCCAAATTCTATGTCCTCTGAGGGCAACAGAAAATAAGTAATGTGCATGAGCAGTATTTTAGGAGCAGAAGACTGCTGTCAGGTGACAGCAGGTGACTGCTGGTTACAGTTGTACATGGAAGTGTAATGAGAGTTCTGGATTGGATGTCACAGCTCCGTACTTAGATACTGTGTGATCCTGCACAAGTCACTTAAGTTCCTTGAGCCCCCATCTCTTAATTTGCAAAATGGGAAAAGATCATTTCTCTACCTTCACCCAGAGGGTGGGATGGGGGAATCAATTGAATTAATGGATGTGAATTTTTGTAAATGTTAGTGCTATCTCCACAGTGACTCACTACTGCTGCTACCATCATCATCATTGTCATCGGTCTACTATTGTTAGAGAAGATACAGTTGGATGACTGGATACTAACTTAAGGTTATGTCTCTTCAGGACAAACATGCTTATGGTACTGCAGCTAGTGCTACTGCCACTGTGGATAACAGCACAATTGCTACTTACAGAGCAGCCTTCCCCAGAGCAAAAGGGATCAGATGCTTTGACACCCGAATTGCTGGGTATCAAATCTCTCCCATTATCTTTCTCAGGAACACAATGTGTTGCAGCTGGAAAGATACAATCTGAGTTGAAGCCAAATCTGGCTGGCTTCAAGTTGCTGGAATTGGCTCTTTAGATGGTAAATTTTGTGTACCCACCGGACTGTGCCTCACACACACCCCTCCCCCCATTTAATTGGGTCTGAATTAGACTGCACATTCAGAAAACTCTTCTGTCAGTTTTTGTCAAAGATTTCTCTTTGAGTTGCTTGAAATATCTATTAAAATCTTAGCCTAAAGCAGTGTCTTTTGAATATCCAGCTCACTAATTCAGGTACCGCAGCACTGTGAGCATACACCACCAGCCTGCAAATGGATAAACTGTTCAAAAGACATTTTCCACCCCTTAAATATGATTCCAAGAAAGAATAGGAAATGTCTCATACCTCTAATGGAAGCTATTTGCTACAAAAACAAATCATTCAGGTCCGTGGACCTAGAAATGCCTTTTGCACAAAAACTGAAAGGAAGAGACAGCAAAACAGCAGCTGAAGCCATGAAATCATCACCCCCAAAGCACATGATTCAAATAAAAATGAAATACTCATTGGAAAAATGTACCACCCACACACCCAACATTGTGACGGAGCTACAGTAGTTGTCAGTTTGTGTATAAAGAAAACAACCAACATTTTGTATGAATTTCAAGGAAAATAAACTATTTGTTTCTTGTTAGTAGCTAATGTGAACATCAGAGCAAATAGCACTTTGGGTTCCAATAAAAACGTAAAACATTTCAAAATGCTCACACATAGATCCTGACATCAAAATGTACATATTGTAAGATGCCAGAATATGAGTACCCAATAATGTGCTTAATACATTTGTTCTTTCTTGAAGAGATGAGGTATAATTGTATGCAATCATCTTGTAGCTGGGAATTATATTAAGAACCCTGAACTATAAGTACTAAATCAAACTAAATAGTCTCTTATCCTATTTTTCTCTCTTATACTTGTCATTACTTCCTGAAGTTCTCATTACAAATGCATAATTCTATCCCCCATAACCCATACGTTTTTCTTCGAAAAAGGAAAGTAGTTTCCCCCTCTCCTTTCTCTCAGATCCACAATTTTCTTCCTACAAATGTTCATGGGGTGAAACTTACAGACAAATAATTTCACTGAACAAGAACACCTTCTTGGGTAGGATCACTAAGTTATTGCTGCTTTGCCTTGTTACAAATAGTTAGCATATCTTTAAAATTTGCTCTTCTTTTCCCTTGAGAACCTGTTCTAGAAGAAAGGTTAATGGGCAAACATAAGCTACATTGTAATATTAAATACCGATTTCTTTTCCAAAGCTAAAACCCACAATTTTCCTTCAGTCCTAAAGAAGACATAACATCGCCAGCTAATGGGCTGTCCACAAATGACCATTATTGAATGAATAATAAAGGAAGAATAGCAATGTGATTTCCACTTACATCAACCACAAAAATCTTCTGGGAATCATCCAAAAACTGCACTTTTAAATGGAGCATTCTCAGCGAGGCCGTTGGGCTGCAAGCAGGCTCAGAGTGCTGTGGGTGCTGCGACAGGAAGGGGGCTTTCTCCAGGAATTTCACTCCCAGCTGGATGTGGTGCACTCAGGTCCCCCCACCCCCAGCCAGGCATCCCCACTCTCAGCGGGACACACTTCCGTTTGCTTGAAGTGATGCACACCCAAGGGCGTTTGTGCAGTCGAGAGAGCACTGGAGATCAATAGCATCTGGGCATTCTCCTATTTGGTCAACATTGAATCCAACTGGACTTTCTCTAGTCTTCTTAAAGCCAGTGCCTGCTTTTAAAGAAAAATACAAAGAAAGAAAGCATTCACAATCCCTGGGGTTTTATTTCATGGGGCACAATTCGAAAACCCTATATAAAGACTTGATAAATGGAGAATAGCCATTCTCGAAAGTAAAATGATAAAGTCAGGATGATATGGTACTAGAAATTTCATGGCTGAGTTAGGAAGCTTTATATATATAGATCATATACGTTACATATATGTACACACAGTTCTCATAAGCAAAGTCAAAAGATAAATGGAGATATTTGTAACTCCTATCACAGACAAGGGATTAATTTCCCTAATTAGTACAGAGTTTCTAGAAATAAATAAGAAAATAAACCACTATTTTAAAAGGAAGATGTAGAAGTACATGAACAGATCATCCACGACAAAGAAAGACATATATTACATACATACAGATATATATAATATATACGATACAGATCATTTTAATGATTCTGAACTTACAAAATCTAGAAATGAAAGCTTTAAAAAGGAACATATGGAAAGCTTCATTTTCACTCACGCTCCCTCTATTCTGAATTCCCGTTATACTATCAGTAACCAGTTTTATTCACCACGCTTTGCTGTACTTGTTTAGCCTCAGTGTTTGCTTATGCAAATACTATGCATGCAAATACAAATGTATGTATCCTATGTAGGCAGCATGCTTGGACACCGTGTTTGTGCCTTCCTTTTCTTCATATATCATGGAGATTTCCCTCAGGCTGTGTGTGGAGAGCTTTTTCCATTTCTTTTTACAGCTGCAAAATTTTACACTGTGTAGATGATCCACAGTTCACTCAATCAGTCTGAAATTAACTTTACAGCCTCAACAAGGCTGAAATAAATATACTCTTACATATGTCATTTCACAAACATGGAAGTATATCTGAAAGAGAGATTTCCAGAAGTCACTGCCAAGGCTAATGAATTTGTGATCTTGATAGCTATTTCTAGATTTCCTTTCATAAGGGTTGTAATGGGTGAATTTTGTCCTTTAAAATTCAAACATTGACGTCCTAACCCTATAACTAAGAATAGGACTATATATGGAAATAGGGTCTCTAAGGAGGTAATTAAGTTGAAATGAGGTCATTAGGGTGAATCCTAATGCAATCTGAGTGGTATCCTTATAAGAAGAGATCAGGACACAAACATGTACAGAGGGAAGGCACGGGGAGAAGACAGCCATCTACAAGCTACAGAGACAGGCATCAAAAGAAATGAGTCCTACCAACACCCTGATCAGAGTTTTAGCGTCCAGAACTGTAAGAAAATAATTTTCTGTTTTTTTAGCCACTGCACCTGTGATGCTATTTTTATGGGAGCCCTACCAGTTTAATATAAGGGTTGTCTCAATTTGCAATCACACTGGCAATGTGTGAGAGTGTCTGTTTTGTACACATGCTCACCAATGGACTCTGGATCAAACTTGTGGGTTTTTGCCAAACTGAGATTGGTGATATTGGTAAGAAAAAATAATCTCAGTGTAGTTTTATTTTTTTTTTAGACAGAGTCTTACTTTGTCACCCTCCGTAGAGTGCCATGGCGTCATAGCTCACAACAAACCTCAAACTCTTGGGCTCAAGTGATTCTCTTGCCTCAGCCTCTGAGTAGCTGGGACTACAGGCACCCTCCACAACGCCTGGCTATTTTTAGAGACAGGGTCTGGCTCTTGCTCAGGCTGGTCTCCAACTCATGTGCAGGCAATCCACCCTCCTCAGCTTTTCAGAGTGCTAGGATTACAGGTGTGAACCACTGTACCACCATCAGTGTAGTTTTTAAGATTTTTATACTATGAAAAAAGTTGAGAATCCCTTTATATATTTAAGGGCCGTGTAGATTATTTCCCTCCCTCTCTCCTTCCCTCCCTCCCTCCCTTCCTTTCTTCCTTCCTTCCTCAGCCTCCTGGGTAGCTGGGATTATAGGTGCCTGCCATAACATCCAAATATTTTTAGAGATGGGGTCTCAGTAGAGCTCAGGCTGGTCTTGAACTTGTGAGCTCAGGCAATCTGCCCACATTGGCCTCCCAAAGTGCTAAGATTACAGGCAGGAGTCACTGTGCCCAGCCTATGTAGTGAAAATTTTAAAAACGGCTTCCGGATTTTGAGTCAGAGTTAGGAAAGGTTTCACTTCAAGGCTTTTAGTATTTTCATGGCATTATTTTTTTAAAAAAATTTAAATCTTCGATCTATTTGGATTTTATCCTGATGAGGTATGGATCCAATTTAATCTTGTGCCAGCTGTCCCAATATCATTGGTCAGAAAATTTATTTCTACCTCCATTGATTTGAGAAGCTTCCTTTATCATATATTAAATTGCCATAGGCACGTGAATCTATTTTGAAGTTTTTACTCTCTTCCATTAATGCACAAGTACCATACTTGTTTTTATTGTTGAAGCTCTAGAGTATATTTTAATATCTGATAAGACTGTTTCCCATGCCTTTGATCTTTTTTACAGAATTTTCCTGAGTATTCTTCTTTAATTATTTTTCTATATATGCTTGTTCAGGTCCAGCAAATGAATGTTGGCATGTTTATTGAGATATGTTAACATTATAAATTTGCTTAGGAGTAATTGATATCTTTATCATAGCATGTATTTCAATTTATTCAGATCTACTTTTATGTCATTGTCTTCTGGACTGTTACTATATTTAATATACATACACAAAAGCAAAAGGAGTACTACAATAAATTCCCATACACTCAACATCATTCAAAATCGATATGTAACAGTTGGTACTTTAGAATGTGACTGTATTTGGAGAGAGGGCCGTTAAAGAGGAAATACAGTTAAAATAAGGTCATGAGGGCAGGCCCTAATCCAATCTGATTGGCGTTCTTTTTTTATAAAAAGAGGATATTAGTACAGAAAAACACTTGGGTCACATGTGCACAGAGGAAAGACCACTGAAGACGCATCAGGAAGGTGGCTATCTGCAAGATAAGGCCTCAGGAGAAACCACATTTTGTTGACACCTTGATCTTGGACTTTTAGCCTCCAGAACTTCGAGAAATACATTTCTGCTGTTTAAGTCACCCAGTCTGTGGTATTTTGTTATGGCACCCTGCTATAGTTTGGATAGAATTTCTTTGCCCCCACCAAAACTCATATTGAAATTTCATCACCAATCTGCCAGTGTTGGCAAGTAGGGCCCTGTGGAGGGTTTTGGGTTATGGAGGCAGATCCCTCATGAGTGGCTCAGTGCTGTTTCCATCCCAGGGTAGTGAGTGAGTTCTTGTTCTCACAAGAATGGATTAGTTCTCATGGGAATGGATTAGTCTCTGAGAGAGTGGGTCATTATAAAGTCAGGACGCCCCCTCAGGTTTTTGTCGCTGTATGTGTCCACTTCCCCTTTGACCTTCTCTGCCATGTTGTAAGAAAGCAAAAAAGCCCTTGCCAGAAGCCAGGTCTATGCCTTTGATCTTCTTAGCCTGCAAAACAATATGCTAAATAAACCTGTTTTCTTTATAAATTAGCCAGTCTTAGGTATTCCTTTATAACAACACAAAATGAACTAAGACACACCCCTAGAAAACTAATATAAATAATAAGTAAGATTCTCACTCTTTTTTTTCTCTCTCTCCTCCCACAAATTATTTTAAAGCAAATGCCAAGCAGCATTTCCCTTCACCCTTTAAATACCTCTTGTATGGATTTCTTAAAAATGTGGACATTTTCTTTTTTTTTCTTTCTTTTTCTCATTTCATATTTATATGAGGGTACAAATTTTCTTCCAAGGTAAAGTTCAAGTTGTAGGAGAGCTCCTTTATAATCCCAAAGCCATTATCACACTAACAAGATTACCAAACACTCTATTATTATCCTATGCAGTTGACCCTTAAACAAAATGAGTTCGATCTGCATAGGTCTACTTATACATCATTGTACTCTGATTTTGCCATCCTGAGACAGCAAGACCAACCGCTCTTCTTCCTCCTCGGTTTACTCAACATGAAGACAGTAAAGATAAAAACCTTTATGGTGATCCACTTCCACTTAAGAAAGAGAAAATATATTTACTATTTATTATGAGTTTTTTGTTTCTTTTCTTTTTGAAAGAATCTCACTCTGTTGCCCAGGATACAGGGCAATTGCATCATCATAGCTTACTACAAGCTCAAAACTCCTGGGCTAAAATGATCCTCCTTCTTCATCCTCCAGATTAGCTGGGATTATAGGCATGCCTAGGAAATTTTTCTTTTTCTTTATTTCTTTTTTATTTTATTTATTTTCTTTTGTAGAAATGAGGTCTTATTATGTTGTTTAGGCTGGTCTTGAACTCCTGGATTCAAGCAATCCTCATGCCTTGGCTTTCCAAAGTGCTAGGATCACAGATAAGATACCATGCCTGCTCTTATAATTTTCTTTTTTTCTTTCCTTTTCTTTTTTCCTTTCCTTTCCTTTCCTTTCTCTTTCTTTCTCTTTCTTTCTCTTTCTTTCTTTCGACAGAGTCTCACTTTATCGCCCTTGGTAGAGTACTGTGGAGTCTCAGCTCACAGCACCCTCCAATTCCTGGGCTTAGGTGATTCTCTTGCCACTTTCTTTTCTTTTTCTTTCTTTCTTTCTTTTTTTTTTTTTTCTTGAGACAGAGTCTCACTTTGTCACCCTTGGTAGAGTGCCATGGCGTCATAGCTCACAGCAACCACAAACTCTTGGTCTCAAGCAATACTCTTGCCTCAGCCTCCCAAGTAGCTGGGACTATGGGCACCTGCCACAATGCCCAGCTATTTTTAAAGATGAGATCTCTCACTCTTGCTTAGGCAATCCATTCGTCTCAGCCTCACAGAGTATATAATTAATACATTTTTTCTCTTAGTTTATAATGCATATAACATACAAAGTATAAGTTAATCAACTGTTTATGTTATTGATAAGGCTTCCAATGAAGA